CGTATCACTTGTAAAGCCCATTGGCAAAAGTTTACACGAGCTAAAATATGATGTGGCCTTAAAGCTTGCACCAAAGTGATGTGATAGGCATGATAATCTAAAGCTCTCAAAATTCTTGATACTGTGCTTTGCGGTATGCCAATTTCCCTTTCAATCTGACGAGTACTAACATGTGGATTACGATGATCAGCTGCTAGAATAGTCAAAGCTTGCGCATCATTTTCGTATTCACGATGTTGGCGTTGACGAACAAGATGTCCATTGCAAGCTCGCTCAGTTAAACTTCGAATGGTTACATTCGTAGGATGTCTTCTTTGAAGAAAGCGTTCAGCATAAAGCCTTGATGCAGCGACATAATTGTTATGACATTCTCCTAAAACCAATATCATATCAACGATTTCATTAGGAGGATAATCCGCCATTCTGAAGAAGTTCTTTTAAAACTATTTTCACTTAAACATCAAGATTTTGTTTTGCTCAAATTAATGAGATATTAACAAATATCGATACAAACGATTAATGTTCAAAAAAATAAAAACTTGATCACAACACTTACTAAAAAACCTGTTGATGTTCGACGTTTCTACGTCAGAGAACAAAAATGACTATTATAGTTAGTTCAACCTAAACCTACGAAATGACAATTTGTGAAATTTCTACCTTGCGCTTATCAGATTTGAAATTAAGAAATTCAACTTTTAATTTAGCATAATTAGTAGCATAACCAAGGTAATAGTGACAGTCATTAGCACAGGTTTGTGAACCCTTCTGTCCTGAACATTTTTTTGTCCCAACTATTTTCCCGTAGAACGGGTAGTTTAGGAGATATTCGAAATTATAGATTAAAATGGGTCACCCTGTATGTATATACAGGGTGAGTCATTTTAATCGAAACAGACAAATATATCGAAAAATATGGAAGATACGGAAAAATATTTCAAACAAAAGTTGTATGGTTCGGAGGGACACATAAGATCATGCAATTGGCTTGACCCTAGATAATCGTTTGAAAGTCACGTGAAGATCACCTTCAATTTCTTAAATGGAAACTTTCATTTTTCATTGCATATTCTTATAGCTTATCTCGAGAGCTTTCCAAAATACTATAATAAAATATCTTTTCATTAAATGCTTTTCGAGTTATAAGGCTTGAAAGTTACAGTATCGCCGGCATTAGCATTATCCAAGGTGTACCACGCGGAGGTTGCCCGGTCGGATTTACTCTGTGCGTGTTATAGGCTGTTATTTTCATTTCTACGTAAAAATTAATTTTGTTATATGGTTGGGGCGCACACGCACATGCATTCTCCCTCACATGCACATTCTCTCCACTCGACTCTCGCGCGATACTCGTCGTCAAACGTTTTATTAACAAGCAAGCAAAACGCTACATCAGTTACCTCGCCACTGTAGACATGTTACTTTAGATGAAAATTAAAAAAAGAGTATTAAAATTAACACTTTGTTTCCTTAATAATGGCTGATTATTCACCTAGTGAAATTGTCGACATGATAATTGAATATGGAAGGACCAATGAAAACTACAGACAATGTGCCCGTCAGTATGCTCTACGATATCCAAATCATCGATGTCCCAATCATACTACAATAATGAAAGTTATTAATGGAGCTCGTATATTAAAGGTACATTATGTCGCAAACGTAGAAAGAAATCTTTAACTGATACTAATGATTTGAATACAGCTATTTTAGAGATGGTAGTAATAAATCCTCAGATTGGTCAACGTACAATCAGTCGAGAACTCAATGATTCTCAGTTAACTATCCGGCGAATTTTAAGAGCGAATAATTTTCACGCTTATTACATTCAACGAGTTCAGACACTTACTGAAAATAAAAAACAAAAACGTGTTGAATTTTGTCATTGGGGATTGGAAAAATTAGAAGATGATCCGATTTTTTTTTTATAAAGTTTTATTTACCGACGAATCAACATTTCAGAATACTGGATAATTGAATCGTCATAATTGCCACTTTTATTCAGATATTAATCCATTTTGGACTCATGTAGATCGTCAGCATTAGTGAAAAGTAAATGTTTGGTGCGGCATTTTGGATGGCCAAGTTATTGGACCCTATTTCTTTGATAATAACATTAATCGAATAATATACTTACAGTTCTTGCAAAATAATCTATTCGATTTGTTAGAGGATAGCAATTTAGGAACTAGGAATCACATGTGGTTTCAACACAATGATACACCTCTACATAGAGCTGCCATTGTGCGAGACTATTTACATCAAAGATATCCTGAACGCTGGATAGGGTACAACAATTATATCACATGGCCTCCAAATTCTCCTGATTTGACACATTGTGATTTCTTTTTATGAGGGTACGTTAAAGGGATTGTTTTTGCTATGAAACCGACAACTCCGGTCGATATGAGAAATCGCATCACCAGAACTTTGGCAACTATTCCCGAAGAATTTCTTCAAAGGACTACTATTGCATTGCATCATAGTTTCCGAATGTGTATTGAAGTGAATAGTGATACATTCAAAGAAATGTTATAAGACGTAAATCGTGGCGTGTACGAGCACGTGCAAGTGCGCGCGCACGCACTCACACACAGCAGTAGAAAGGGTTTGGAGTCATTAAATACTACAGGAGTGACGAACCGTGGGGTCCTTATCTCTGCTGTGCACATACATACACAGCACACACACACACAAACGCGCGCGCGCGCGCGCGCAGAAGAGGTGTAAATCCGACTGGGCAACCTCCGCGTGGTATACCTTGGATA